AGCGCCTGGTGCCGTCACGCCATGGCCACAGTGTCATCGGCTGGCGCACCCGCCGGCATCATGTGGTCGCTGACCATCGTGGAGAGAGGCCCGGAGGAGGAGGAGGAGTAGGAGGAGGAGGAGGAGGAGGAGGAGGAGGAGGAGGAGGAGGAGAAGGGAGAGGAGGAGGAGGAGGAGGAGGAGGAGGAGGAGGAGGAGGAGGAGGAGGTTCAGTCAGAAAGAGGAGGAAGAGGAGAAGGGGGTTGGGGGAAGGAGAGGAGGGGCGTCATGGGGCGGAGGGGGAAGACACACAACAGAAGGTGAGGAGAGTGGAGGGATATGGCTCTTCCACCAAAGAAGAAGCTGAAGAAGAAAAAGAAGTAGCCTGGGGGGGGGCGGGGCCGATGCCACCCTCCCACATGGGCGCCCCGGGGACCTTTGGGGGGTCAAAGACTCCCTGGGACTGCCCCGAGCCGCGTCCACATTGCCCAGGACAGGCCGCGCGGGCCATACAGATGATCCAGAAAGCCTCCAGGGGCCCCGAAGACGCCCAAAATGACTCCAAGCCAACCGAAGAAACCCCGAAGCCGCCCCGAGAGGCTTCAAAGGAGTGTCTGAAGACAGCCCAGAGAGACCAACATCGATGATTGTCCATTGTGTTCTTCGATGTTTTTGGCTTTGATCGCCTTTTCACCTTTCCGGCGCTCCAACAAGGCCCAACAGGTCCTCAAGAGCGCCCCAACACTGCCCGGAAGGCCTCCCAGACGGCCTGAAGACGGCCTGAAGACAACTCCAAAGCAGCCCAAGAGGCGCCCCCGAGGGCCATAGGGAGGCCGAGAGGGCCCCGAGGAGGCTTGAGGGGGAACCTAAAGTTAAAATGTTATTCTCCCGCCGTGAAAGCTTCCCAGGAGGCCCCGAGAGAACCCCAAGACGCGCCAAGGAGGCCCCCAAGAGGCCCCGAGGAGGTCCCCGAGAGTCCCCCAACAGACCCCAAGAGGCCCCAACACGAACGCCGCGCTACGCAAACGCCGTCGCGCAAACCTCTCGGGCCTGGGCGGTTCCGGGAGATGTTCCCAGAAGGGCCTCCAGGAACATCTACGCCTTGCCCCTTGCCTTACACATCTGCATATGCATATACACATGCGTGTATTTATTTGCGTGTATGCATACATGCATGTATGCAATCAAACATACACACATGTAGACAGGCGGGCCGACAGGCAGGCATTACTCACCTACGTACGTACATGCATACATACATGCAGGCATGCCTGCCTACACACATGTATGTATGTATACATATGCATATATATACATGTGCGCACATACACACAAGCATACATCCATACACCCATACATACATACATGCATACAGACACATACATGCAGACAAGCCTACATCCATCCATACATACATACATACATACACACATGCATACATGCATACATGCATGCATGTATACAGCCATACATTCATACATGCATACATGCATACATACATAAGCACCTATATATACACACATACATACATACATACATGCATGCATACATACATACATACATACATACATACATACATACATACATATATACATACACACATACGCACATACATAAATACATACATACGTACGTACATGCATACATACATACATACGTACATGCAGACAGACAGACAGACAGACAGACAGACAGACAGACAGACAGACAGACAGACATACAGACATATATACATACATACATACATGCATGCATACACACATACATACATGCATCCAAACATGCATACATACATTCATACGTGCATGTTTGCTTGCATACGGGCGTACATACGAGTATACATATACACCTACACACAAACACACATGCATGCAACAATGCATGCATGCACACATACCTACATATTACCTACACATACTGACATATCATCGTACACGTATTCAGATGTGCATACCTACATGTACACATGTGCGCACACGTACATACGTACACATACATGGATACATGCAACCATATATGCTTGTTCGCATGGACGCATGCATGCATACATACATCCGTCCGTACATACCTGCATACATGCATGCATACGTATACGCATAGTTGCCGGCCTACCTATCTACCTACCTTCTGACCTGCCTGCACACATACATACATACATGCAGACTTTACTTACAGACACACAGACAGACAGGCACACACATGGAAGTCTGTTCGAACGTCGGGACTCCTCTGGAGAGGGATGGGCCTGCCCGGCCGGGGGCCGCGGCGGGCCGCAGGAGCGGCGTCGCGTCGCGACTCCATGCTTCGCGCGGGGGGGGGGGGGGGGGCGGGCAGCGAAGGGGAGGAGCACTTTCAGCATACCGTCAGTCAGGACGGGAAAAAACACACAGACACAATGAATCGTCGATTCCAAAGAAAATAAGGAAAAATATGGGAGTTGGGCGGGAAGACTAAACCCCAGAAAATACAGGAAAATACAGGGAATCCTTCTATTTGTGTGTATTTATCTGTGTGTTTGTGGGCCCCTTCAATCAAGCAGTGGCGAGGCGTCCTGGCTCGCCCACAGTCGGCGGCGAGGGGGGGGGGGAGGTGAGAAGGAGGAGGCCTTCGCAGGAGGTGGCGAGGCTTCTCAGGAGGCCGGGAGACTTCAAGCTCTGAGAAGGCCAGCCGCTGCTCGCTTCCCCCCCAGGCTCGTCGCCGATTCTTAGCTTCAAGCAGCCCGCGACCCACCCGCTACCCAACCGCGACCCACCCCGTGACCCGCCCGCGACCCACCCCGCGACCCACCCCGCGACCCACCCCGCGACCCACCCCGCGACCAGCCCGCGACCCACCCGCGACCCATACGCGACCCGTACGCGACCCATCCGCGACCCCGCCTGCAAGCCACCAGCGACCCACCTGCGACCCACCCCGCGATCCACCTACATTTCTTAACGGCCAAATCGGCGCCTGCGGCGGGCACACTGCATATTGTAAAAGGTAAGCGCCTGCGGAGGGCCTCTTCAGAGCCTCGCAGACCAACGACGTCTTATGCGCAACTGCGGGGTGCTACGTGTATATAGTTGGCGCCCTCCGAAGGCCATTCCCTCTCTCGCTCGGTACGGCTGGAATGGGGCTGGAGACCAGCAGCGTCTTCCGCCCATGCTGCACCGGGCTCGCTGCCTCCATCGCCGCGTCTTGTCCGTTTGAGACACTCAGGGGCAACGATGGGGGGGGATAGGCATAGGGGGGGATCCATCGACCCCCAATCGCCTACAAATCGCCGATAGGGGCCCGATAGCCCCAACCCGCCCAGGAAGGTGCGGAATCACTATCGGGGGCCTGTCGCCGATCCATCGGCGATGTATCGCCGATGCCTGGTCGATGCCCCCCCCCTATCCTCCCTCCTCCTCCTCCTCCTCTCCTCCGCCTCCTCCTCCTCCTCCTCCTCCCTCCTCCTCCCCCCCCTCCCCCTCCCCCTCCCCCTCCTCCCCCCCCTCCCCCTCCCCCTCCTCCTGCCCCCTCCCCCTCTTATCGCTGCCCCGCGTGTCCGTTGGAGGCGCAGGCTCGCCTGCCCAACGGCGGCCGCTGCCGCTCCTGCCGCCGGGCCTCTCCTGCCTCCTGCCGCGGGGCCCCCGTGGCCGCCCGCGGGCGTGCCGGCGCGCGGCCCCCGGGCGCCGCGACGTGCGCGGGGAGCGCTCGGAGGCCTCGCGCGGCGCCCCGAGGGCTGTGCCGTCTGCAGTCCGCGCGCCCGCTCCGGAGAGATCCAGGCCATGTGCGATTTGGGCGCTGCGTAATGGGGGGGTCATAAATGGGGGGGCGGCGAGGGTGGTCCGAAAAGGTACCCAAACGGTACCTAAACGAGCCCCCTGGGGCTCCGGAGGGGCCCGAAAGGGGCACGAAAGGGGACCTTTTCTGACCCCCCCATTTGTGACCCCCCCATTAAGACACGCCCAAGCGATTCGTTACTCTGCGAGTCGCGGAAAGGTCCCCTCGACACTCGTCGAGCGGGCGACGCGCAGAGGGGGTTTGAGAAGCCTCCTCCCGTTCCCCCCACCTCCTGGTGCGCGCCGCCAAGGCGAGCGCAAGGACAAAGCCGTTCCAGTGCCTTCGGAGCGCTCTGAGAGATCGCTCTGGAGCCACATCGGAGAGCAGCAGTATAGTCGGGGGTGGCCAGAACCCCCAACAGTGACACGTCGATTAGTGAATTGTCCGTGTTCGGTTCTCGAGAGGGCGCCGCGGTTGTCATTTTCCAGGCTTGCGCCCGCCAGGTCTGGGCCCGAGGTCGTTTTCGCTAAACCACGTTTTACTAATGGGGGTTGGGGGTTCTGTCCATCCCCGAACGAAATGGGCACGGAAAGAATGGGTACAATGCCCAACAGCGGATGTTGTTCTTTTTGAACAGGACTCGCTGTCCACGTCGCCGCGGCCTGTGTCCATTCGGGACAGAAGGCCGCCTGCCCAACAGCGGCCGCTGTTGGTTTGGGACAACATTTGCTGTTGGGCATTGTACCCAGTCTTTCCGTACCCAAATCGGGCGTCCAAAATCCCGGGGCGGCCAAGAGGGGGATGATGACTAGGGGGGGGTGGATCTCATGGCGTGGGCCATGATATTTCCCGAGATCTCATGGCGCCTCTTCTGATTTCATGACGTCCCTGGCCCCCCCGCTGGGCCGCGCACATGCCGCCGGTCATGATTTGCACCACACCCCCCTCCTGGCCGCTCCCGAAGAGATGTGTGTCCACGCCCGCGCGGCGATGCTCCGACGTGAGGCCAACGCCGATCCGACGCGGATCCGATATAGATCCGACGCGATCTGGCGCGAGCCCGAGATGTGCCCGACGTGGATCCGGCGCAAGCTGGGTCCCCCGTTGCCGCGCGAGGCTTCCAGAGTTTTCCTTGCAGCGCAGCCCCCCATGTGCCAACGGGAGCTCGCCTCCCAGTTGGTAACTGGGGGTCGTCGCCGAGGTCGTGTCCCAAACTCCAGGGTGGCGCAGGCGTGCTCGCGTCCGTGCGTGGGACCTTGTGGCTCCCGGAGGCCAGCTCCGCGCGCGTGCACGACCAGCTCATCTACAAGTGGATCCACGCCCGGGAGCTCCCGAGGAGGAAATGCATCCACTCCAGGCCTTCCAGACGGGGTTCGGAGCAGGTGGGGTTGGAGGCTTGCGCCGCGTCGCCGATGCATCGGCGATGCGGCTCGACGTGGAGCCCGTGTTTCTCCACGCCGACGGCGCCGATGGATCAGCAATGCATCGGCGATGCGGCGCGATCCTCCGACCACATCGTCTCGAGCCCAATCAGCCGAGAAACAAAATCGGCATATAAACGTAAACTTTCGGATCTCTGCGCAGATTCTTGGATCGGCATCGGGCTCCCCTGGCGGCGCCTCCAGCGCCGCCCCTGGCGCGCTCCGCGTGCAAAGGAGGGGGCCCAGCTTCGATCCAAGAAGTCCGCGCAGACCTCGAGTTGTTTTAATACAACTTTTCGCCCCTTCATCAAACATGTCAGCTTGTGACTCGCAAGTGATCGACCCCCTCCTTCCCAGAGCTGATGAATAGACCCCGCGGGTCGCGAAACCATTTTTGTGCCAGGGGGTCGTCGCAGGCGCCGCCGATGGGATCGTGTACCCCCTGCCTGCACCGCAGCCTCAAAACGATTGCTTTTCGTACAACAGTTGTTACAGGGTCCGCCTACATCCGAAGCGAAGTTTTTCCCCTTTCCTCTCCCAGGTTGATTACTGACGTGCCGCAGTCGTCGTCGTGGTCGTCGTCGTCGTCGAAATCGCCGAAATCGTCGTCAGTGTCGTCGACTGCTGCGGGCCTGCGCAGACCCCCCCCCATGGGGCATAAGCATTGCGTCGTCGCCGTCGCCGCCGCCGTCGCCGTCGTGGTCGACCGTCGACCGTCGACGTACAGCGGGTCTCGCAGCGCACCAGCCCCTCCTCCCAGGGGCATCCGCAGTTCGTCGTCGTCTGTCGCCGCCGTCGCCGTCGTCGTCGTCGTCGTGGGCTGCCAGCGGGGCGCGCCGCGCACCGCCCACTCTTTGGTGTGGGGCATCCGCAGTGCGTCGTCGCCGCCGTCGCCGTCGAGGAGAAGGACGAGGACGAGGACGAGGACGAGGACGAGGAGGAGGAGGAGGAAGAGGAGGAGGAAGAGGAGGAAAATGACGAGGAGGAGGAGGACGAGGGGGAGGAGGAGGAGGAAGAGGATGATGAGGACGAGGAGGATCACAGTGGGCATGCGCAGCCCCCCCGCCCCCCCCTCCCCCTGGAGCGTCCGCATTGCGTTGTCGTCCGCCGTCGCCGTCGTTGTCGCCGTCAGTGTCGTCGTCGTCGTCGTCGTCGTAGGACGGTGGTGGAGGAAGGAACAGGAGGAAGCCCTTCCGCCGGCCTCTGCCGCCCCCTCTCTCCTTTTCCATCTTCCGGTTTGCAGCCGTGTCGGCACCGCCCGCCAGTTGAGGCTCCTCTTTTCCCCCGCCTCCTCGTTCCCTCCTGCCTGCAGCCGTTTTGGCCCAACCGCCCCAAGATAGCGGGGGCGTTGTTGTTCCGTTCTGAAGAAGCGGCGCCGCTTGCGTCGCTCCTGTCGCCCTCCTGCTGTCGGCCGGGTGTCGGCGCTAATCACTGGCGCCGCCGCCGCGTGTTTCCATTTGGCGGGTGCTCCCCCCCGTGGCAGCTCGCCCGAGCAGGGGGACAATGTGTTCAATCACGCGCCCCGTTTGATTTTGTGAATCACAAGCTGGCATTGTAACGTCCAGGTTTGGACAGGCGTGTCTATCCAGGGCGGCTCTGCGACGGCGCGAGGATAACTGCGCGTCGCGCGTCGCTGGGCGGCGAGTCGCGCGAAGTTTGATGACCTCTGCGTCCATGTCCGCGGCCTCGCGGTCCACGCCGGTTGGCCGCCACCCCCGTAGATGCGGGGCGGTTTTCAGCTCGGAGGCACCGCGCAGAACGTGCCCGCGAGATCTTGCATTGGAGTTCAGACCGCGAGGTCACGGACACACCGATCGTTCAAAGCATTTCTCCTGTTTTAAGTCGCCGCCCATTTGAATCGCATCGTCGTCCCTGCTCATCCCTTTTTGTTTTACAAGGGGTCGGGCGGAAATTCATTTGTTTATATTCGTATACGGTTTGTTTTTATTGCGCCCCCGGACAACAAGCAACATCACACATATGTGATTGTGACGCATTCCTACGTCATGCTACCCATGCCGTCGGGCCGATGGATGTGGCCATGTTCGCCACTCGTGAGGATCGGCGGTACGCCCAGTGGGAAACTTCCGAAAAAGGGGATGGGCCTTTGTTTTTCCACTGAAGGCTCGAACCCCCCCCCGGCAAGTTGAGAATTGGTTTAAGTTAGTTTGTTCCGAAGGCGCTGGACATGAAAACCCCCGCCGCCTTCTGAAAAGCTCTGGCCCTTCTTTGTGTTCGCCGCTCGTGAGGAGTTGCTGGCCCGCGTGCTCGCCGCGAAGTACGCGGAGCTCGAGGCGGCGGGCTGGCAGGTCAGCCGCGGCGATGTGCGCCGCGACGCGCGGAGGATGGTTTGGGCCACCGCCGCCGCTGTCGCCGTCGCCGCGGCCGTCGGAGGAGGAGGGAGGAGGGACGAGGGAAAGCGGGAGGGAGAGATGGAAGAAGGGAGCGAGTAGAAGGAAGAGGGAAGAGGGGGAGCAAGGAGAGGAGGGGAGGAGGAGGAGGAGGGAGGAGGAGGAGGAGGAGGAGGGAGGAGAAGGAGGAGGAGGAGGAGGAGGAGGAGGATAGGAGGGAGGAGGAGAGGAGAGGAGGAGGAGAGGAGGAGAAGGAGGAGGAGGAGGGAGGAGGAGAGGAGAGGGGGAGGAGGAGAGAGGAGGAGGAGGAGGAGGAGGAGGAGGAGGAGGAGGAGGAGGAGGAGGAGGAGGAGGAGGAGGAGGCGGACGAGGAGGAGGAGGAGGAGGAGGAGGAGGATGGAGGAGGAGGTGGAGGGGGAAGGGGAGGGGGAGGGGGAGGGGGAGGGGGAGGGGGAGGGGGAGGGGGAGGGGGAGGGGGAGGGGGAGGGGAAGGGGGAAGGGGGAGGGGGGGGAAGGGGGAAGGGGAGGGGGAGGGGGAGGGGGAGGGGGGAGGAGGAGGAGGAGGAGGAGGAGGAGGAGGAGGAGGAGGAGGAGGAGGAGGAGGAGGATACTGGCAGATTACTCAGCCTTTGAAGGTGGCTGGTCCCTGTGGAATGTTGTGGCAAGTCAGGCTAAGGAAGGCTAGCCCTCGGACCACCATGTCAAGAGGCACGATGGGGAACGCTCACACCCACGCCGCCAGATCATGACGCATAATGGGGATGGCGTGCGCACAAACGGCCAGATAAAACGTCACAATGGTGGATCAGCTGCTCATGGACACACAGGATACACCATGCACCAGCTGGCCGAAACCCTCAAGTTCCTTGCGCTTGGAAAAGTAGCGGGATGGGCTAGGAGATACAAGAAGGCCGGGCAAACACACTGACAGAGGACGACGGGGCAACAGCGAAGGGAGAGAGAAACAAGCAAGAAGAGAGAGGCAGGCTGGGGAAGGCACACACCGCCACAGACGCATCGGGAGGCAGACGGGGATTGATGAGCCCCGTGCAGCGGAAGATTGGGAAAGGTTCCACAACCATATCAAGAAGCCTGCGGGGCACCACATTAAGGAACGGTCTGCGGACGGTCTGCGCTGGATTCTGGATGGCAAAACGCGCGGGACCGCGCGGGGGGAGCGACCGGGAAAGAGCGAGCGAGGGAGAGGGAAGTAAAGGGAGACAGCAAAGGGAGCGGCGCGAGAGCGAAAGAAATAAATGAGAGAGAGAGAGAAAGAGAGAACAATACAAAAAGAGGAGAGAAAGACAGAGAGGGAGAGAGAAAGAGAAAGAGAGGGAGAGGGAAGCAAGGGGAGAAAACAGAGGAAGCGGCAGCAAGAAAACGAAACGGTATAACAAATGAAGAGATTCCCACACCTCCGTACAAATGACGGGGACGAGAGGCTCCATCGCGCTATGTGTCCAAGGTTGCAATGAAACAAGGTTGTGTATGTCGGGATACAGAGATACATGTAGATCGCGCGGAGGCCTGACCTGATCAAAACAAGTGGCGAGGGCAGTGGGAAGAACAGGGACACAACAAGGAACACGGGAAAGCAGTGCGGCCGGGAAAGATGGGGTAGCAGTGGTGGAGAAACGGATGAGGGGGTGGCGGTGGCGCCCCAGCTTCATGGCCTTTGAAGGCTTAGTGAGGTCGGTGTGGTCCTGGACGCCCAGCTGGTCAGGATCTGGGCCACGGCGTTCGGGATTTCCGCCCCGAGCCGACTGCCCAGCTTCGACTCCGAAGGGGGTCGGGAGGCGGACAAATCATGCCCCCCCCTCGAAAAGAAAGTAACGGAAACCGCGACAAAACAGATGCCAGGGATTGGGAAATTCATCTTCTGGTGCGCTCGCACAGAAAATGCTGCCAGGCCCATTCGACCGCCAGCCGAATAAGTTGAACATGTCCGCCGCTGCTTTAGAGAAGAAGGACCGGCACGTACAGGGCCATAACTTTGGCAACGGAGACACAAGTCTACTGCGGAGAGTAAGACGCCCCACGCTGTGCTGGTTCCGTCTGTGCGGAACTGGGTCTGGCACAGAAAACGGACAATGCGGGAACCGACCAACACGCACAAGTTCGCGGGCCCCTGTCGTCACGACGGCCTGGCACAGATGAAACGGACACAGTGGGAACCGAACAAACCCTCGGCGGCGGGATTGATGGTGATGCACTGGGCCTTCGCCGAACCATTGTGCAGCCCCACAAGAGTGTGGCGCGCAGACAAGTCCTGTCCTCCCAGCCAGCATTGGCGTCACCAAGGGCGGTCCTTTGGAGGGCTCTCGGCGGGGAGGGCAGCTGCCTTGCGAATCAGCAGAGACGCGCGGGGCCCGGGGAGAAGAGGAGAGCGGACGGACCAGAGTCCACAGTCAAAGACTCGCGAGGGGAAATGCGGGGGGCCAGCGGGGGAACGAGAGGGAGAGATGAATGTCACGGAGACGGTGCGGGGCTGCCTGCAAA